AGGGTGAGATGATAAAGCAGAATGGGTGTCACTCTGGGGGATAAAAACCTGTGCACTGCTAACTATGGATTTGAGGCAAATCTGAATGGAAGTAACAAATGAAACTTAAAGGGATTTCTCAATCCCTGTCGTGTACGTAGGGAATAACGACATTCCAGGTTAAATCGTCTGACTGAGTATCAGAGGTAGAGAGTACAGGATCGGGGAGGATTGTCAGAGTCTGTCACATTAGTCTGGGTTGGAACATCATTATCATCACATACTAACTTCATATGATCTAAATGCAATTCTTTATACTGACCAGTATAATTTCTCTAACCTTATACTTATTGCCAGTGATATTTTTCAACTACTCGAAAAGGGACCAACAAACTTTTGATCAACTTAGGCATTTGCAGACGTTTTGTTAAAGTTAGTCATCATAACTCTCGAACCTACTTTGATTTTGAATGGCTTTGCTCGAGTGTTTGCGACTCTTGTAAATTCTGCTGTTGATTTATGAAGTGTTTCACGGATTCTTCTAAAAACACTTTGAGCTAAGCTGGTACGAGTTGCTATGAAATCATCAGGGTTGTAATTTGGTTTCGGATTAGAATATAGCAACTCATAAGGCAAACGTTTATCTACACCATACAATGCATAATGTGGAGTGTCACCTATAGAAACATTGTAAGCAGAATTTATAGCACACTGCACATCAGGTATAACTTCATCCCAAGTTTCACTGTTGGGATTGATAGTGGCTCTCAAGACATCAAGTACTTTCTTATTGGTATGTTCCGCTAACCCATTGCGGGCAGGATGATGAGGAACAATGGTGGATTTAGAGATCTTGTACAAGGTGCACAAATTTTCAAGAATCTCATTACAGAATTCACCTCCATTATCTGTTACTAGGGACTTAGGGGTGGTATGCCTGCAGATAATGCGTTCTTTAAACGCTTTAGCTACTGCCTTGGCAGTCTTATCTGCAATAGGAACTAACTCACAATATCTGGTGAAATGGTCTACCATAACACATAGATGTTTGTTGCCCTGGAGGGAACATTGGAAATTTGTTAACAAATCTAGCGCAACTCTTTCCCACGGTTTCGCTAGTGGTTGGATACACTTGGATTGGATTAGGACCATTAGCATTACCTTTAAGTTGCATGCAGACACTCATTTCTTAACATACTCAGAAATATCAGTTGCCATACGAGGCCAAAAGTATTTCAATCTGGCTTGTTTTACTGAACGATCCATACCAGGGTGCGCAACACCTGGTACTTCGTGAACTAGCTGTAAGGCTACATTCACTAGTGACTGTGGAATTACTAACTGGTAAACTCTTCTGCTAGGAGTACCCAACTCGGCTGTTCGATACAGTAATATCTTGGTTCATGACAAAGTCACTGATGGGTGCTGGTGGCTTCACAGTCAGAATAAGATCTTCCTGGAGCAGGAATTGAATCACATCAGACCACATGGGATCTGTTCGTTGAGCATTCTTTACATCCTCAGCACTAAATGGAGGGTCTGCAGTTAAATATACTAACATGTCGCGATAAGGCATCTGCGACTACATTTGACTTGCCAGGTAAATGTTCAAAGGTGGGATTAAACTCTTGGATAGTCAAGGTCCATTGGCTAACCTTCCAGTAGGTTGTTTGTTCTGGAAAAAAAGGTATCAGTGGAGCGTGGTCTGTCAAGACATGAACAGAGTACTGATAAATAATGTCTCAGAAGTGCTTTAAAGATCATACTATTGCTAAAGCTTCTTGCTCAGTTACTGGGATATTACGTTCAGCCTTTGTAAGGACTCGGCTAGCAAATGCAACTGCGTTGTACTTGCCATCAGTCTTCTGAGCTAGTACGGCACCTATGCCAATAGAACTAGCATCAGTTGTCAGATAGAAGGGCTTAGAAAAATCTGGAAATTTCAAAATTGGAGCAGATGTTAGCTATTCTTTTAGAGTTTGGAATGCTCTTTCTTGACGGAAGGTCCAAACAAAAGGAGCATCTTTCTTAAGCAACTCAGTTAGAGGAGCAGCTATGGAAGAAAAATTGGCAATGAAAGATTTATAAAAACCTGCTAAGCCCACAAAGGATCTTACGGCATCAGCAGTTTTGGGTGTTAGAAAATTCAGCTGTGTGGTAGCACTGGACATTGCTGGCGCTTTCGACCGGGTGTGGCACCAGGGCCTCTTAGCAAAACTTAACGCACTGGGAATTGCAGGCTCTGCTCTGTCTCCTCAGTGATTACCTTCATAGTAGATCTCTAAGTGTAGTTCTCAATGGAACGGAATCAGCAAGACATCCTATTGGGGCAAGTGTTCCACAAGGAAGCGTGCTGGGTCCATTGTTATGGAATGTCTACTTCAACGACCTTCTTCATCTCATCCCAGAATCACATGCATGTGCAGACGACTGTACACTGACATTCACTTATCCAAGAGAAGAAATGCCAGCTGCTCTAAGCTACATCAATCACCAGCTGAGAGCTATATCAGCTTGGGGAAGTAGATGGCAAGTAACATTTGCACCTGAGAAAACGCAAATGATGATCGTCTCTAGGCACCATGATGGTAATGCTGGTGCAGTAGTAAGGATGAATGGGAGGGTGTTGGCACCCGGAGAAGAAGTTGATATCCTTGGGGTGAAATTTGACTCCAAACTAACCATGAAGAACCATGTTTGTAAATCTTGCAAACAAGGCAGCCAAGAAGCTTACAGCACTTCGCCGTATCTCGCATCTGCTTGACAGTAGGGTTGCAAGATCCTGTACGAGGCACAAGTACGCTCACACCTTGAGTATGCTCCACTTTCTTGGTTTGCCTGCCCCCCCCCTCTCATCTGCGACTGCTTGACAGAGTAGAGAACAGAGCAAGACGTCTCATCTCTCGCCTGGACCCATCCTGGATAGATCTGTCATTTCAGCAGAGCCTTCAACATAGGAGGGATGTGGGTGGCCTTACTGTTATGTACAAGGCCAATATTGTCAAAATACCACACTTGGATCCACTTCGAGGACAGCGTGAAACAAGCTTTTATGCCACAAGATGGGCAGAAAGCAGCAACTTCACTCTGGCTGTACCCTTCTCCAGAACATCACTCCATCTGAGATCATATATACCCAGGATGACTCGAGTATGGAACACATTCGTACAGCATAATGATGTCAACGAGATAAAGTCAGTTGATCAAATGAAAATGCTGGCCCACAGATGGCTCCAACTTCATCCTGTTCCCTACTTGTATGTCTCATAACAATAAAAATGCTTTCAAATGAGCTGATGTAGGTAACAGCACTTAGCTTGCCAATAAAGTTAGGAATCCTTAACCTGTAAATAGCTTGTCAATAAAGCTAGGGATCCTTAACCTTGTCAAACTCTGTGTAAAAAAAAAAAAAAAAAAAAAAAAAAAAAGAGAGAGAGATGTCGTGGGGGGGTTTGATTGACTAACAGTTACTGGTATAGTACACAGTACTACTGACAGAGAGAGAAGAAGAGAGAGAGAAAGATCCTTGATCCTGGCAAGATTCTTGAGACAATAATCTCAAGACAAATGACAGTTTTTTGACTATCACTCACTGCTTTGTGACTGTCAGTATGGCTTCAGGAAAGGTTACTCTGCTGCTGATCACTACCGCCCTCTACCACCATCACTACCACCCTCTACCACCATCGCTACCACCCTCTACTACCATCACAACCAGTACCACCATCACTACCACCCTCTACCACCACCACTTTCGTATTTTTCTACAAATTTTTCTTGAATTCTATCGTGTTTCTCGCATCCTTTACCAAAGTGCTGGCTCTAGAAGCTTTCTTGGGGCCCATGATGGCTTATTTAGTGGTTATAAACACTAGAAACAGTGGAATAATCCAAAATGTATGGGAGGCACACTTGGAAACCGACCGCAACAGCTTATAAACAATGGCACACTGAGTCTTGGAGTGGCTGGGCCCACTTGGGACATGTTCTGGACGAACGTCGTTGGTTAAGTTTTTCGCCGTTGGTTAAGGCATTTTTTCTACAGCAAAAAGCGCCATTAGACGAAATTGCCATTACTTAATGCCGCCGTTAGTTGAGGGTCGACTGTATATAAAACATGAAATGACTTTAAAACACATGAAATTTTGGAAAGTTTCCAGACATAATGGAGAGACATGGAGCTCGGAGAATGTAAACAAACCAGGTGGTGCACAGTGACTATTAGAAAGTCAGGTGTGGGGAGCCGTATAGTGAGTTTGGTCATAATTTGAAATGTCTGTATTAGTGGAATGCCATTTGGCGAAACGCCCTAAAGTGGGGCCCTACTGTACTGTAAGGTTTTCTTTGTTTTTTTGCCCAATTCACTTACTCATCAACTTTTCCATCTTATTTAGATGTTCTTATTTATTTGTTATTCTTCAAGGATCACAACCTGGGTTACTCATTGCTCAAGCTTGTATCTTTGCCTCATTCAGGCCATAGGCTCATGCTGTCTCCATCACACATGCGTCGCCCTTTTTCTTTGAAACGTCAAGATTTTCACGCTTGTGTTTTATGTTTCCAGCTCCAGGATCACTCGCATTCCTCTTGGGGAACCATTGTTATTACCCAGAGACAAGATGGGATGATGAAAAGATCAAAAGTCAATTTCTCTAACACAGGCCGAATGTGATATTGGATGCATACAAGTGAAGTACCATGTGAGGGAGGTTGTGTACATTACATAGGCCTCCCAGTAAGACAATGGACTCACCCTTAGGCTTACCGGGAGGTGGTAGGGAAAGACCACGATGCATGCCACATTTTCTCCTACATGTACCCCGCCATATAAACCAACTTTTTTACAGCGTTTTTACCAAAAATATGCCACAATTTTGCAACTGTTGGAGCAAAAGACTTGTTAATGACTTGCATGATATCTGATGGCCTACTGTATGTGTATTTGTTTTTTGTATGTTTGTTTAATTTTATTTTTTTTAAATGCAATGCAGTTTTCTGAAGATTATTTTTTTTCTGTTTAGAGAAGGATAGAATCACAAATGGAGGATGATCCCCTAGCCACTTTTGAGATGGATGGTGCAAGTGGATGTATCAAACGAATGGACTCCCTCAATACTATGGAAAAGTCTGAGACCTTTCACAAAAATACAGATGAAGTTGATGATAATACAAGAGATGTTCAGGATGAACATGATGTTGCACTTCCACCTCTCAACATTCAGAACAAAACTTCACAACCTGTGAATATGAACACAAGTCAAGGAATAACAGTAAGTTTTGGGTTTTTCTTTCTTTTTGGGTCACCCTGCCTAGGTGGGAAACTGCAGATGTGTTAAAAAAAAAGTGTATAAACAAGGTATCTACTCTTATTGGTGTGTAAATTAATGTTTTCCTTCATAAACCCATCTGCTGACAAGTCAACTCCCAAATATCTGACAACATTCACTTCTTCCATACTCCCTCCCTTCAGTGTAATATCCAATTTTTCTTTATCTAAATCATTTGATACCCTCATCACCGTACTCTTACCTATATTCACTTTCAACTTTCTACCTTCATGCACCCTATAATAATTTTTTTTTTCAACACTTTAGTCATCTCCCACTGAGGCAGGGTAACCCAAAATGAAAGAAAATCCCCAAAAAGAAAATACTTTCGTCATTCAGTACTTTCACCTCACTCATACATAATCACTGTTTGTGCAGAGGCGCTCAGATACGACAGTTTAGACGTCCCTCCAGACTGCCAATATCCCAAACCCCTCCTTTAAAGTGCAGGCATTGTACTTCCCATTTCCAGGACTCAAGTCCGGCTAACCAGTTTCCCTGAATCCCTTCACAAAATATTACCCAACAGCTTGTCGGGTCCCAAAAACCATTCGTCTCCATTCACTCTATCTAACACACTCACGCACACTTGATAATAATAATTTTTTTATTATTATCACACTGGCCGATTCCCACCAAGGCAGGGTGGCCCGAAAAAGAAAAACTTTCACCATCATTCACTCCATCACTGTCTTGCCAGAAGGGTGCTTTACACTACAGTTTTTAAACTGCAACATTAACACCCCTCCTTCAGAGTGCAGGCACTGCACTTCCCATCTCCAGGACTCAAGTCCGGCCTGCCGGTTTCCCTGAACCCCTTCATAAATGTTACTTTGCTCACACTCCAACAGCACGTCAAGTATTAAAAACCATTTGTCTCCATTCACTCCTATCAAACATGCTCACGCATGTCTGCTGGAAGTCCAAGCCCCTCGCACACAAAACCTCCTTTACCCCCTCTCTCCAACCTTTCCTAGGCCGACCCCTACCCCGCCTTCCTTCCACTACAGACTGATACACTCTTGAAGTCATTCTGTTTCGCTCCATTCTCTCTACATGTCCGAACCACCTCAACAACCCTTCCTCAGCCCTCTGGACAACAGTTTTTGGTAATCCCGCACCTCCTCCTAACTTCCAAACTACGAATTCTCTGCATTATATTCACACCACAACATTGCCCTCAGACATGACATCTCCACTGCCTCCAGCCTTCTCCTCGCTGCAACATTCATCACCCATGCTTCACACCCATATAAGAGTGTTGGTAAAACTATACTCTCATACATTCCCCTCTTTGCCTCCAAGGACAAAGTGCTTTGTCTCCACAGACTCCTAAGTGCACCACTCACTTTTTTCCCCTCATCAATTCTATGATTCACCTCATCTTTCATAGACCCATCCGCTGACACGTCCACGATCCAAAATATCTGAATACATTCACCTCCTCCATACCTCTCTCCCTCCAATCTGATATTCAATCTTTCATCACCTAATCTTTTTGTTATCCTCATAACCTTACTCTTTCCTGTATTCACCTTTAATTTCTTCTTTTGCACACCCTACCAAATTCATCCACCAATCTCTGCAACTTCTCTTCAGAATCTCCCAAGAGCACAGTGTCATCAGCAAAGAGCAGCTGTGACAACTCCCACTTGTGTGTGATTCTTTATCTTTTAACTCCACGCCTCTTGCCAAGACCCTCGCATTTACTTCTCTTACAACCCCATCTATAAATATATTAAACAACCACGGTGACATCACACATCCTTGTCTAAGGCCTACTTTTACTGGGAAATAATTCCCTCTTTCCTACATACTCTAACTAAGCCTCACTATCCTCGTAAAAACTCTTCACTGCTTTCAGTAACCTACCTCCTACACCATACACTTGCAACATCTGCCACATTGCCCCCCTATCCACCCTGTCATACGTCTTTTCCAAATCCATAAATGCCACAAAGACCTCTTTAGCCTTATCTAAATACTATTCACTTATATGTTTCACTGTAAAACACCTGGTCCACACACCCCCTACCTTTCCTAAAAGCCATCCTTGTTCATCTGCTATCCTATTCTCTGTGTTACTCTTAATTCTTTCAATAATAACTCTACCATACACTTTACCAGGTATACTCAGCAGACTTATCCCCCTATAATTTTTTGCACTCTCTTTTATCCCCTTTGCCTTTATACAAAGGAACTATGCATGCTCTCTGCCAATCCCTAGGTACCTTACCCTCTTCCATACATTTATTAAATAATTGCACCAACCACTCCAAAACTATATCCCCACCTGCTTTAACATTTCTATCTTTATCCCATCAGTCCCGGCTGCCCTTACCCCCTTTCATTTTGCCTACTGCCTCACGAACTTCCCCCACACTCACAACTGGCTCTTCCTCACTCCTACAAGATGTTATTCCTCCTTGCCCTATACACGAAATCACAGCTTCCCTATCTTCAATCAACATTTAACAATTCCTCAAAATATTCCCTCCATCTCCCAATACCTCTAACTCTCCATTTAATAACTCTCCTCTCCTATTTTTTAACTGACAAATCCATTGTTCTCTAGGCTTTCTTAACTTGTTAATCTCACTCCAAAACTTTTTCTTATTTTCAACAAAATTTGTTGATAACATCTCACCCACTCTCTCATTTGCTCTCTTTTTACATTGCTTCACCACTCTCTTAACCTCTCTCTTTTTCTCCATATACTCTTCCCTCCTTGCATCACTTCTACTTTGTAAAAACTTCTCATATGCTAACTTTTTTTCCCTTACTACTCTCTTTACATCATCATTCCACCAATCGCTCCTCTTCCCTCCCGCACCCACTTTTCTGTAACCACAAACTTCTGCTGAACACTCTAACACTACATTTTTAAACCTACCCCATACCTCTTCGACCCCATTGCCTATGCTCTCATTAGCCCATCTATCCTCCAATAGCTGTTTATATCTTACCCTAACTGCCTCCTCTTTTAGTTTATAAACCTTCACCTCTCTCTTCCCTGATGCTTCTATTCTCCTTGTATCCCATCTACCTTTTACTCTCAGTGTAGCTACAACAATAAACATGTACATCCTGAAGTCTACTCAACAGTCTTTTATCTACCAATACATAATCCAACAAACTACTGTCATTTCGCCCTACATCATATCTTGTATACTTATTTATCCTCTTTTTCTTAAAATATGTATTACCTATAACTAAACCCCTTTCTATACAAAGTTCAATCAAAGGGCTCCCATTATCATTTACACCTGGCACCCCAAACTTACCTACCACACCCTCTCTAAAAGTTTCTCCTACTTTAGCATTCAGGTCCCCTACCACAATTACTCTCTCACTTGGTTCAAAGGCTCCTATACATTCACTTAACATCTCCCAAAATCTCTCTCCCTCCTCTGCATTCCTCTCTTCTCCAGGTGCATATATAATAATAATTAAGTTCTTGATGAATATGAATGCTTGTAACACAGTATTTTCTTGGTTTACAGGGAGGAATGCATAACATGCGCATTTCATCATCTGTAACAGTACCAAGAATAAAGCCTCAGGGTAATGTCCATATAGCACAATCTTTGGATGTGGAGGGTGAGTAATAATAACCATTGATTTTGTTGGGAGGGTTCCATGGAGATATGATGGTTGGAGATAAACACACTTGTTGGGTTGTATACACTTATATTAGCAGAGTGTGGGAGGGGAGCCCAGCCTGCCTGTAACCGACTGTAGGTCTATCTGTGGACTGAGAAAGGGACAGCGTGTCTGATGCTCACATGTGGCATCACGTGACGTCACACATGCTAGCCTGTAAGTCTAGCAAGGGGTCGTCAATATAAAACATATGGATGGTACTAACTATGATACTCAGATAAGCTATATAACATATGTAGGGGATCAGCAACTATGCTGACAATTTTATGATATTTTGGCCTTTACTTTAGTTTTTCTTTTTAGGTCACCCTGCCTTGGTGGGACATGGCCGGTTTGTTGAAAAAAAAAATTGGCCTTTAATGCTTACGTTAATTTAGGAGCTACAGTAATGTAAATTTGGTTTTACCAGTGCTGATAGCTTAATATTGAGAAAATAAGATTGTTTAAATGGGAAGGGAGAGGAGAAGGAAGAAGCATGATTGTTTTACACAAGGTTGAGGTTTATCATGTCATGACTTGAAGCTCAGCCCAGAGCAAAACAGTGCTAATAGGACCTTGTACTACATAATGTGACTGAAAGTAAAAATACTGTATTAACAGACCAGGGAATATGTTCACTACATTTAACATTGTCTTGGTAAATGGATACTTGGTTGGCTCCAGTGTAAGAGAACCATTCTCTTCACTGTCATGCTTGGCTTTCTGCAGGTTATGACTTTACTGGCTCACGAAATCATAATGACACGATTGCAAACAAACCATTCCACTGGCGGGGTTAGAACCCGCGATCAAAGAGTCTCAAAACTCCAGACCGTCGCGTGGCTAATGCGACAGTCTGGAGTTTAGAGACTGATAGCAGGTTCTAACCCCGCCCATGGTACGTTTTTTTTTTTATGACTTTAATTTATACCCTTACAAAGTGCTACTCTGTTGATCTCTATTTCTTTAATGTATAGCTACCCCTGAAAACTGCCATTGAAAGGGTGGTTATACGAGTATTCAAATATTGTTCTTCAAATGCCTTGGTGTTTATTAAGTTTTCAAGAAGCAGCCGTAACATTATTTTAAAAATTATGTTTATAGTATAAATGTTTCTTCTTATTGATTTATGGTATTTATTTAAATTTTATTAATACCCTTTCTTGTTAAGTGTGTGCATACTTGATAACCTTTGCTATATTTCAGGACTGTTTGACATGGAAGGAATGATGGAAGCAAATGTAATGCCACCACAAGCCAACTTTCCTTCAGATGATGATGACACTGATGGTTTGTAACTGAAGCATTTTTGTGGACTGGTTGGTAGGTTTAACTAAACCACAGTCAAAGTACGAAGATTTGCTTTTATCCATCATCATAATAAGAGTTGAAGCATGTTTTGCTTGTCTGTACCCTATAATCTCTGATCACCAAGTGTGGTTTGGCATAGAATCCGTGAAACATCTAAATTATTGGGAACATCTTGTTACAGTTCAGTTGTCTTCTCTGTAACAGAAAGAGAGAGAAAGAGATAATATATACATGGAAGGTACTTGAGGGGCTAGTCTCTAACCTACACACTGCTGTAACAACTTAGAGTAAAAAATATGGGAGAAAGCATAGAATAAACCCAGTGAAGAGTAGGGGGATCATAGATAAAATTAGAGAAAACTGTTATCCATGGCTCATGACTTTTTCAACATGCTACCAGCAGATAGAAATTCTGCCAGAATGAAGCTAGAAGTTTTCAAGAAGCTGAACAGCTTTCATCTACAAATGCTGGATCAGCTGGAGTGCAATGGTTTTTGTGGGCCTGCAGGCTGCTATTACAAACAGCCTTGTTGACCAGGAAGTCAACAGATAAACCTGCCCACAGGCCAGGTTGTGGGATGTAAGAGCCTCAGTATTTCTCACAGGTAAAGAAGTGGACATCAGTTGCAGCTTTCGTAGTGCTGGGGAATGCAAGTGTTACCTTTTATTGTGTAAACGCCACACTTGCTTCATTTCTCTGGGCTCATGAGGTTCATGAGGGCCCTCTGACTAACTTCAAGACTTGTGACAGCTTCTTCCACTCTTCAATATTTTCTTTAGAAGATGACCATTCATTTTGTCTTTAATCATCTTTAAGGATGCATAGATATTTATATCTGTGTACTTGCAAACATATATTCATGCATGCATATATTCTAATATATATACAAGCATAAATTCAAATATACATTTTGTTTAACATGCTGGACATCTCCAACTGAGGCAGGGTGACCCGAATAAGACACTTTCACCATCATTTACGCTATAACTGTCTTGCCAGAGGTGCGCAGATACGGCAGTTTAGATGTCCCTTTAAACAGCAGATATCCCAAGCCCTTCCTTTAGAGTGCAGGCATTGAACTTCCCACCTCCAGAACTCCAGCCTGGCTAACCAATTTCCCTGAATCCCTTCACAAAATATTACCCGGCACACTCTCCAACAGCTTGTCAAGTCCCAAAAACCATTTATTTCCACTCCTATCTGACATGGTCACACATACCTGCTGTATATCCAAGCTGTTTACACACAAAGCCTCCTTTACCCCCTCCCTCCATCCTTTTCTAGGACAACCCCTACCCTGCCTTCCCTCCACTACAGACAAACACACCCTCCAAGTTGTCCTATTTTGCTCCATCCTCTCTAAATATACATTTTTTATTTTTAAATGTTGGCTGTTTCCCACTGAGGCAGGGTGACCCAAAAAGAAAGAAAAACCCAAAAAGAAAGAAAGAAAGAAAAACTTTCATCGTTCAACACTTTAACCATCACTCATACACAATCACTGTCTTTGCGGAGGCGCTCAGATATGACAATTTAGATGTTCCTCCAAACTGCCAATAACCCAAACCCTATATATACATGCATATATTTATAAATGCATATATTCATGCATGCATGTATATATTCATGCATGCATGTATATATTCATGCATTTTTTTTTTTTTTTTTTCAACAAGTCGGCCGTCTCCCACCGAGGCAGGGTGACCCAAAAAAAAAAAAAAAAGAAAATCCCCAAAAAGAAAATACTTTCATCATCATTCAACACTTTCACCACACTCACACATTATCACTGCTTTTGCAGAGGTGCTCAGAATACAACAGTTTAGAAGCATATACGTATAGAGATACACAACATATCCCTCCAAACTGCCAATACCCCAAAACCCCCTCCTTTAAAGTGCAGGCATTGTACTTCCCATTTCCAGGACTCAAGTCCGACTATATGAAAAAACCGGTTTCCCTGAATCCCTTCACTAAATATTACCCTGCACACACTCCAACAGATCGTCAGGTCCCAAGTATCATTCGCCCTCCATTCACTCCTATCTAACACGCTCATGCACGCTTGCTGGAAGTCCAAGCCCCTCACCCACAAAACCTCCTTTACCCCCTCTTTCCAACCCTTTCGAGGACGACCCCTACCCCTCTTTCCTTCCCCTATAGATTTATATGCTTTTCCATGTCATTCTACTTTGATCCATTCTCTCTAAATGACCAAACCACCTCAACAACCCCTCTTCTGCCCTCTGACTAATGCTTTTATTAACTCCACACCTTCTCCTAATTTCCACACTCGAATTTTCTGCATAATATTTACACCACACATTGCCCTTAGACAGGACATCTCCACTGCCTCCAACCGTCTCCTCGCTGCTGCATTTACCACCCAAGCTTCACATCCATATAAGAGTGTTGGTACTACTATACTTTCATACATTCCCTTCTTGCCTCCATAGATAACGTTTTTTGACTCCACATATACCTCAACGCACCACCCACCTTTTTTCCCTCATCAATTCTATGATTAACCTCATCCTTCATAAATCCATCCGCCGACACGTCAACTCCCAAGTATCTGAAAACATTCACTTCTTCCATACTCCTCCTCCCCAATTTGATATCCAATTTTTCTTTATCTAAATCATTTGATACCCTCATCACCTTACTCTTTTCTATGTTCACTTTCAACTTTCTACCTTACACACATTCTCAAACTCATCCACTAACCTTTGTAATTTTTCTTTAGAATCTCCCATAAGCACAGTATCATCAGCAAAAAGTAACTGTGTCAATTCCCATTTTGAATTTGATTCCCCATAATTTAATCCCACCCCTCTCCCGAACACCCTAGCATTTACTTCTTTTACAACCCCATCTATAAATATATTAAACAACCATGGTGACATTACACATCCCTGTCTAAGACCTACTTTTACTGGGAAGTATTCTCCCTCTCTTCTACACACCCTAACCTGAGCCTCACTATCCTCATAAAAGCTCTTTTACAGCATTTAGTAACTTACCACCTATTCCATATACTTGCAACATCTGCCACATTGCTCCTCTATCCACTCTATCATATGCCTTTTCTAAATCCATAAATGCAATAAAACTTCCCTACCTTTATCTAAATACTGTTCACATATATGCTTCAATGTAAACACTTGATCTACACATCCCCTACCCACTCTGAAGCCTCCTGCTCGTCCGCAATTCTACATTCTGTCTTACCTCTAATTCTTTCAATTATAACCCTACCGTATACTTTTCCTGGTATACTCAGTAAAACTTATTCCTCTATAATTTTTACAATCTCTTTTGTCCCCTTTCCCTTTATATAAAGGGACTATACATGCTCTCCGCCAATCCCTAGGTACCTTCCCCTCTTTCATACATTTATTAAACAAAAGTACCAACCACTCCAACACTATATCCCCCCGCTTTTAACATTTCTGTCATGATCCCACAGTTCCAGCTGCTTTACCCCCTTTCATTCTACGTAATGCCTCACGTACCTCCACCACACTTACATTCCGCTCTTCTTCACTCCTAAAAGATGGTATACCTCCCTGGCCAATGCATGAAATTACCGCCTCCCTTTCTTCCTTAACATTTAAAAGTTCCTCAAAATATTCTCGCCATCTACCTAATACCTCCATCTCCCCATCTACTAACTCCCCTACTCTGTTTTTAACTGACAAATCCATAATTTCCCTAGGCTTTCTTAACTTGTTTAACTCACTCCAAAATTTTTTCTTATTTTCATTAAAATTTCTTGACAGTGCCTCTCCCACTCTTTCATCTGCTCTCCTTTTGCACTCTCTCACCACTCCTCTTCACCTTTTTCTTTTACTCTCCATATACTCTGCTCTTCTTATAACACTTCTGCTTTGTAAAAACCTCTCGTAAGCTACCTTTTTCTCTTTTATCACACCCTTTACTTCATCATTCCACCAATCACTCCTCTTTCCTCCTGCCCCACCCTCCTATAACCACAAACTTTTGCCCCACATTCTAATACTGCATTTTTAAAACTATTCCAACCCTCTTCAACCCCCCCACTACTCATCTTGCACTAGCCCACCTTTCTGCCAATAGTCCCCTTATATCTCGCCCGAACTTCCTCCTCCCTTAGTTTATACACTTTCACCTCCCTCTTACTTGTTGTTTCCACCTTCCTCTTTTCCCATCTACCTCTTACTCTAACTGTAGCTACAACTAAATAATGATCCGATATATCAGTTGCCCCTCTATAAACATGTACATCCTGGAGCCTACCCATCAACCTTTTATCCACCAATACATAATCTAACAAACTACTTTCATTACGTGCTACATCATACCTTGTATATTTATTTATCCTCTTTTTCATAAAATATGTATTACTTATTACCAAATTTCTTTCTACACATAGCTCAATTAAAGGCTCCCTATTTACATTTACCCCTGGCACCCCAAAATTACCTACTACTCCCTCCATAACATTTTTACCCACTTTAGCATTGAAATCCCCAACCACCATTACTCTCACACTTGATTCAAAACTCCCCACGCATTCACTCAACATTTCCAGAATCTCTCTCTCTCCTCTACACTTCTCTCTTCTCCAGGTGCATTCACGCTTACTATAACCCACTTTTCACATCCAATTTTTACTTTACTCCACATAATCCTTGAATTTATACATTTGTAGTCCCTCTTTTCCCTGCCATAGCTTATCCTTCAACATTATTCTACTCCTTCTTTAGCTCTAACTCTATTTGAAACCCCTGACCTAATCCCATTTATTCCTCTCCATTGAAACTCTCCCACCCCCTTCAGCTTTGTTTCACTTAAAGCCAGGACATCCAGTTTCTTCTCATTCATAACATCCACAATCATCTCTTTCTTATCAATTGCACACACATCCACGCACATTCAGACTTCCCACTTTGACAATTTTCTTCTTCTTATTCTTTTTAGTAATCTTTACAGGAAAAGGGGTTACTAGCCCATTGTTCCCGGCATTTTAGTTGACTTTTACAACACGCATGGCTTACGGAGGAAAGATTCTTATTCCACTTCCCCATGGATATAAGAGGAAAAGTAATAAGACCAAGAACTATTAAGATAAAATCAAAGAAAACTCAGATGAGTGTGTATAAATAAACGTGTACATGTATGTGTAGTGTGACCTAATTGTAAGTAGAAGTAGCAAGACGTACCTGTAATCTTGCATATTTATGAGACAGACAAAAGACACCAGCAATCCTACCATCATGTAAAACAATTACAGGCTTTCGTTTTACACTCACTTGGCAGGACGGTAGTACCTCCCTGGGTGGTTGCTGTGTATATTCATGCATGCATGTGTATATTCATGCATGCATGTGTATATTCATGCATGCATGTATATATTCATGCATGCATGTATATATTCATGCATGCATGTATATATTCATGCATGCATGTATATATTCATGCATGCATGTGTATATTCATGCATGCATGTATATATTCATGCATGCATGTATATATTCATGCATGCATGTATATATTCATGCATGCATGTATATATTCATGCATGCATGCATATATTCATGCATGCATACATACATACAGTGGACCCTCGGTTATCAGCCGTTCCTGTTATTGGCCAAATCGGTGATCAGCTAGTTTTCGGCTCCCGGTGTTTGGCCATTTCGAACACGTCCGTCTGCCGGCTGGGGCCGCTTGCACATCAGTTTGGCTCTCTCTCTTGGTGTGTGAGGAAGCTTCTTCTCATACATCCAAACATTTCGCTTGTTTTCCATTGTTTTTTTGTGGATTTTTTGCAGTGTAACTGTGAAATAATTAACCATGGCTCCAAAGAAAGTTCCTAGGTAAAGTTTCTGTGGTAAAGAAAGTGAGAAATGCCATGGAATTTAAGCGTGAAGTGTAGCAGGGATGCAGGGAGTGTAGGAGGGATGCAGGGAGTGTAGGAGGGATGCAGGGAGTGTAGCAGGGATGCAGGGAGTGTAGCAGGGATGCAGGGAGTGTAGCAGGGATGCAGGAAGTGTAGCAGGGATGCAGGGAGTGTAGCAGGGATGCAGGGAGTGTAGCAGGGATGCAGGGAGTGTAGCAGGGATGCAGGGAGTGTAGCAGGGATGCAGGGAGTGTAGCAGGGATGCAGGGAGTGTAGCAGGGATGCAGGGAGTGTAGCAGGGATGCAGGGATGCAGGGAGTGTAGCAGGGATGCAGGGAGTGTAGCAGGGATGCAGGGAGTGTAGCAGGGATGCAGGGAGTGTAGCAGGGATGCAGGGAGTGTAGCAGGGATGCAGGGAGTGTAGCAGGGATGCAGGGAGTGTAGCAGGGATGCAGGGAGTGTAGCAGGGATGCAGGGAGTGTAGCAGGGATGCAGGGAGTGTAGCAGGCATGCAGGGAGTGTAGCAGGCATGCAGAGAGTGACAGGCATGCAGGGAGTGTAGCAGGCATGCAGGGAGTGTAGCAGGCATGCAGGGAGTGTAGCAGGCATGCAGGGAGTGTAGCAGGCATGCAGGGAGTGTAGCAGGCATCCAGGGAGTGTAGCAGGCACGCAGGGAGTGTA